AGGAGCTGAGCATTTCCAAAGCCCCCAACATCATTCCTTCAGCCAAGGAGCTTCGCGGGGAACTAAATCTGTGGTCAAAAACTGGGAGCCGGACGTTCCCAAGGTGCCAATTCAGATCACACCTCCTTCCACAGATTTCTGGTTGCAAAAGAAATAATGTATCTCATCTCTGGAGAGTTCCAGAAATTCTGAAAATGTATCTTGGCAATGGAAAGTTCTGAAATTGTTTTCTAAAAATATCTTTACAACAAAAACTCTGGAAGTGACTTTAAAATATGTATCTTTATAATGAAAAGTCTGGATGTGATCAAAATGTATCTTTAAAATGAAGAATTTGGGAAATAACCAAATTTAGTATCACCATGAGTGGGACATTATTATAACTGATACTATGCACCTCTTGAAATGATTCATAGGAAATAATGTTTAACCTAAATTTCACGTCTCTAGAACACAATGTCCAATAGAAATATGCCAGTCTCATATGCAACTTTTCTAGTTTTAAACGTAATTTTAATATATTTGACCCAATTTATTCAAAATATTATTTCAGCATGTAATCAATCTAAAAGAAAATTATTATTGAGATAGTTTGTATTCTCTGTCATACAAAGGCTTTGAAACTGGAAGACTAGTCACATTTCTTACTCTTTTTTAATACATATTTTTATTGATTTCAGAGAGGAAAGGAGAGGGAGAGAGATAGAAAAACATCAAATGATGTGAGAGAATCATTGATGGTCTGCCTCCTACACGCCCCACACTGGGGATGTGCCCTAACCAGGAATCAAACCCATGAACGCCTGGTTCATAGGTCGGTGTTCAACCACTGAGCCATGCTAGCCGGGCCGGACCAGCCACATTTCAAATGTGCTCTAGATACATGGTTAGTGGCTAAATCACTGGATAGCACAGCTCTAGCCAAACTCCCAGCAAAACAAGAAAGAGAGGCATAAACGACCACCTCCTACTCCCCAGTGGAAGCGCAGTAGGCCCTCCTCTGTCACATTCTGCAAGCCCTTGGGCCCAAGGATCATGCCCCATCCTGAGCACAGCACCAGGCAATTAGGAAACTTAGTTGATGCTGCAAGGCTTGGGTGGCATCTGAATATTTTCTAATACAGACGTGAAGTTATGTTCAAAGATATTAAGGAAATGGTTCAACAAAGTATCGACTAACGTTGAAACTACCAGAGCCAGGTACATAGATACCTAACAAGTAGGCATTAGGTTTTGGACACAACTCCCACACACTCCAGAAGACATGAAGGCACATATGATCTCATTCCCACTTCAAAGAAGTGATTCTCCAGAGAATTGAATCCAACTTTCCATTTGCCCCTGGAACCTAAGAATCTTTATAATAAGGTCCAATTTACTTACCTGTTTCTAATTATTTCCCCTTCATTCCTCCAAGATAAGCATTCCATTTCTGGCGTCATCTCCCAAGCAAGCCACGCACGTGTTTTCACCTGCTAGCCCCTATCCACACGCAGATCTAAAAGCGAGGAATGTGGCCCTGCCCTGTGTCACTGCTGCTCCAGCCCTGCTCACCCTTCACGTACCACCTCATCTGAGAAGCCTTACCTGACTCTGGCCCACACACACGCCCCCCTCCTCGGATCGAAGAGCCCTGACACAGGCTGTGGCCAAATCCGCTCCTGTGTGCGGTGTGCCTCCCTGTTCAATAAGAGTGCTGCAAAGGGCTGGGAAGACGGGCCAGGGCGCTCATGCAGCTCTGCTCGAGGGTACAGGAGACCTTGGACAGGTCACTCTCCATCCTTAGCCCTGTTTTCTTAGGTGGCCTCTTTGCTATTCCTTCAGCACACCAGCTACATGCTCCTACCTCACCGCCTTTACACCTGCTGTCCCCTCTGCCCACGTGCACTCATCCATGGACCTACAAGCCCACTTTTAGCAATTTAGTCTTAAAATACACTCCACAAATACAAAACCACACCTAACCACTAGTGTTACTCTCTATATCTTTCTGTACAGAGCCTATAAAACATCAAAATCTTGGAAGCAACCTAAGCACCCGACCATAGGAGACTGCATGAATAAATTATGATACATCTTCCAATTATATTTCACAAGGGGGGAGGGGAGGAGAGCAGAAGGAGAAGGAACATCTCCATGAACTAAAGTGGGAAAATGTCCAGGCTATGTTGTCAACTTAAGAAAGCAAGATGTAAAATAATTATAAACAACATGCTACTTTTTGCATGAGAAAGGAGAAATTAAAGCACACACAAATATTTGCTTATTTTCAGAAAAAGAAACACGGGAAAGATAATTCAGAAACTAATGAAAATGACTAGCTAAAGAGGGTAGGAATGTAGTACAAGAGAGTAAAATTCTCTGGATGAACATAGTTTGACTTTAAAACGGTGTACATATTTTACATATTCAAAAAAGAAAAAACAAACTAAAAAATTGAATAAAAATAGAAACAAATGACTAACTCAATACTAAAACCTCAAATAAAGAATTCATTCAAGTAACATTTGAACATAGTGCTGACTTTGTTTTAAAGACAAAAAATTGCAAAAAAATATGTTAAAAGAAAATAAAGTTACCAAAGGTTAAAAGTAAAAAGATGGTCAAAGATATTCCACATGAACACTAACCCAATAAAAACTGGTGTTATTATGTCAATGTCAGGCAAAGTAGCCTTTAGGCAAAACATATTTCTAAAAATACAGAAGTATTTCCTAATTAGAAAAAGTTCAACTTACCAAGAACAACAACAAAATCTAAATTTATATGTGCCTGGTAACACAGTATAAAAATATAAAACAAAAACTATCTGAACTAGAAGGGAAAATAAGTAAATCCATGGACATGAGAGATTTTAATTTTCATATACCTCTAAAAAAAAACAAAAACGAGTCAACTGATAAACAAAACAGTGCGATACGGAGTTGAACAGTTCCATCGGCAACTATGACCTAAGGCACATAGTCAGAACTCTACAATCTCAGGACAGACGTTCTTTTTAAACTCACATGGGACATGTATAAAAACTGGATCATATATTGGCCGGAAATTTCTTTTTAGAAGGAGGCATTAGGCAGGCTTCAGCGTGCTGGCATTGTGCTATTCTTTGATTATAAAGATTTTTGCTTTGTTGATAAACTCTTTTGCTGTTGTTCATTTTGTGTGTGTATTTTACATGTTCTGTGTGTGTACTATGTATCTTATTGCTCACTTTTTGTGTGTGTGCATTACATTTCACAGTTTAAAAAGAGTTAAAATCCTTTAGGAAGGAACGACTCTCCTAACAATACAGTAAGCCCAATGCAACCTGTTTTTCCTCCAGCATTTCAATTGTTGTGTTTTTAGTGGGGCACCAGGTGAAGTAATGGCTTATGCTCAGAGGCTTCCGTGCACAACACCCATGTGCCTTTCAACACAAAAAGCATATTCAGCCCAGCAAGATGCTCATTCTGAGAGACACGCAGGAATTGACACTGAGGGAACTGAGCAGCCATGAATCCCAACTCACATTTAATCCAAGGCAGCCAAGGTTCACAGGCTTATTTAGTAATGCAGGCACAGCCCCTCACAATAGTAACATTATTTCCTTTCTCCTTTTTCCCACCAAGCACACAGTTCAATTGTCTTCGGTTAAACGTAAGTGGGCTTGTGTAGGCACCAGGAAAACCTACTTTGATGTGGGGAATAACTTGGGCTATGCAAACTGAGGGAGCAGCAAAAGGATCTAAAGGAGGGCAAACCACAAAGCAGTTGCCCCAAAGGAACCAATACCAATGATGTGGTTATAGCCTATAGTAACCTTAAGCCATACACCCTGGGTAGTTGTTGTTATCATTATTCATCACTAGCACTTACTGAAAGGTCATCACCATCTCAGTGACATTACGGAAAGCTTATCCCTTGTCAGGCACTACATGGATATATGATTTTCCTAGATGGTTATCATCTCAACATCTCTCAATAAGCTAGAAAGTAGGTACATTATTAGTTCTATTTTATAGATGGAGAAACAGGCTGAGGAACTGGCTGACATCACCCACGTGGCGAATGGAAGGCACGGGAATCTAACCTAGCTAGCTGACTTCGGCCCCAATCCTCTTACCTGCTATGCTACAGTGCCTGCCCAGATAGAGGATGTTTGCACGTGATCACTAAGGGCTCTGTCAGCTCTAACACCCTATCACTTGCTTTAATGAATCTATGACAGAGCATTCAACTAGGCCCAGAAATCTCAAACTGCACACAGCAAAATAAAGCAGCTCAATAAAATCTCTACATGACCTGGAAGTTAGCATTCAGGCTCCTTAGGTCATCAGAACTGATCTTTCCCATATTGAGCCCTTCAAGAAACGAAAATGTTTCTCTCCCCTGCCAGTCGATACCTAATCTTCCTCATTATGAAGACAGATGGCACAGACAGTATCGAAAGGCATTACAGCAATATAAAAAAAAACAAATTTGCAATACAGTTGACATGGTCTTCAAACACAATTGGACCCAAGGCAAATTTGATAAATGCAATTTTCTGGGGGGAAAATATCCCCCTTTAAAAAGTGCCTAAATTTAGAGTAGCTGAAATAAACTGTTTATAAACTATTAACATTAGCCTTGGAAAACAGTATTGGTGGTAAACTGAATATATTAAAGGTAAAAATTTCTTATAAATATAAGACCTTTTTGCCCTTTACACAGAAAACTTAGTGATCACAGTCAGGTCAAAATATTCTTATTTGTTCTTTTAAATAATCATCAGAGTTCCTTTCTTTAAAAAGCAAAACTAGCTAAACCTACTTTTTTTCTTTAAAGAAGAAACAGCTAATTCCGTAATTGATATAATATAAAAAGTTGTCAAATACTCCTTAGCCTTTATAAGTATGAAGCACACCTCATAAAAGATGCTGACACTTCTGTGCTAAAGTGAAAGACTAGACGCTTCTGGGGATTAGGAATGATTTGTTTTTGTTTGTGTTTTTTTTTAAGTATAATATAAACTATTTCTCTTAGAGGTCCCAAGAAGGAAAAAAAATTTATTAGGCCCAGGAATCAAAAATGAGTTGGTATAATTATGGTTACATGCAGAATTGGATGGCTAGAAATGAAATCTAGTTAGGCCCAGCCTAAGGGTCTCACAGCCAATCTGTAGGCACAAAGTAGAAGTAGCCCCAGAGAACGGGGCAAATCTCCCATGCGTGAATTCAGTGAACCAGGTAGACCATTGTGTCACCAATATCCGCCCGCAGCCCGTTTTCAGTAAGATGGACGTTCTTGCTCACGAGGTCCACGTGGAAGACAGCATGCTCAGAAATGGACGTCTTCCCAGTCAGCTCTTTTCCCAGGACGGGAACTCGCCTCGGCCCCAACAGTGGATCATCAAATCTCATCAGCTTCACTTTGGAAAGATCTACAGCAAAAAAAAAGCATTTAATTACAGTCACTGACTCAAACCCATGCCCTGAATCTGATAATTCACATTTTACACATGTTATATCTAAATAATCAGATTATTAAATAGGACCCAATCTCAGAAAGCAAAGCTAAATCTAACAAAACTTTAAACTCTGCCAGCTTTTACCCAGATCAAAGATTGTCAGCTTCTATTAATACATGCCCTGGAATTATAAACCAACGGGAAGGGTTGAGTCTAATTTTGAGCATTATCCTATAGCAGTGATGGCAAACCTTTTGAGCTCTACGTGTCAGCATTTTGAAAAACCCTAACTTAACTCTGGTGCCGTGTCACATATAGAAATTTTTTGATATCTGCAACCATAGTAAAACAAAGACTTATATTTTTTATATTTACTTTATATATTTAAATGCCATTTAACAAAGAAAAATCAACCAAAAAATGAGTTCGCACGTCACCCCTGACACGCGTGTCATAGGTTCGCCATCACTGTCCTATAGGGTCTTTCAAATCACTTTGTATATGCTTCAATTGACTGTCCTTCAGAATATCAAAACGTCTAAAACATTTATTTTGTCTTGTTTCCTCGAATAGATTAAAACTGTAAGCGTTGTTGGGTTGTTGTTGTTTTATTTTTTAGAAGGTAGTTTTGGAAAAAAGAATTACTATTCTAATACGCAGTATTACCAGTTTCTCGTTTTGCTCAAAGGAACGCACTTGTATTGACCAGCTGATGAGACCGGGAGAGAAGGGAAGGCCGGGGAAGGGCACAGGGCCTAGAAGTCCCAGCCTCTGAGTGAGCCCCATGCCTCCCCTGCTGGAGATGCCTGACCTGCTCTGCGCAAGCTGATGTGGTGGCTCCTGGCAAAGAAAGCACTTGTCCCTTGATCACCGTTATGAGCCAACAATCCTGCCCACAATTAAGTCCAAAAAAAATTTATTTATTTCAGCAATTCTGAGGCTTCCCAACGCCAAATGGTTTTATTTTATGTGGTGAAAAACATGCTCAATGACTGCGAGTGGTGATTCTAGGTTTACATCTCAAAGTGTAGCACAGCTAGTTATGTAGAACTTGATCCACAGGAACAGAAGATATTTTCCAAAGTACTTCCCACCCTTTCTAAAGCAGAGCGCTGGGTGGTCCGTGAGCTACACTCCCAGTTATGTTGCTATGAGAGTATGAGGCCTCGTGAGAGAGGGATAAGAGATAAAAGGAGACACTCACGCAGCTGGCGGCTATGCCCGGAGTAGAAGCTATCCAGGCATTCCCTTCTCCTTGGGAAACAAAGACTGAAGGACTGTGGGTTTAGAGGAGGGATCTTGGGGCTTATAGAGCAATTACCTGCGACTACCACGGAGGTAAACCCTGCCTGCGAGTCTCTGCAAAGGCCACATAATCTATTGCCAGATGCAGCACAAGCCCTGAAAGTTAAAGCGGGAAAGGAGCAGACACAGCCTGCATGGCAGCTCTGGTCTCATGGGGGGGGGGGGGGGGGGCGCAATTTTAATGGCTATTGCAATTCAACATGCACATCAGTGACGCCAAATTACTTTGCTAGGAAAGCAGTGACTAGTTCTGCCCACAGATTTTATGCGCAAGGACTTTTACTGCAGATCTGCTTTGTGTGTGTGTGTGTGTGTGTGTGTGTGTGTGTGTGTGTGTGTCCCTCTAAAACAGACCTCCCACATCATTCCAAGCAATTCTGAATCAAGCTATTTCAAAGAAGCCTTAGTACTCAATCAGGCTTCTAAGTGACAACACACATTTGCTTTGATGTTTCGCCATGTAGATCATTACTGCCATTAAATCTTGGAGCTTTCTTAGTGGTTTTACTATCCTTTCTTATCCCAGACCTCATGGAAATTGTTGAAATCTGAGTCTGCAGCTACACAAGATTTAAGGCACTTAGAGCAGAGATGAGAGCAATTGAAAGTCCCTGGGGATTGATAATGTGAGGTGGAGCTTTCACCTCCAAGCTCTTAGTTCATATGTGGCCTGGGCTGCGAGTGATTTAAAGTCATTATCATCAAATAGTTGCTCAGTGGTCTTTGTGGCGTAAATGATGGTTTTAGCCCAGTTCCTCCTGGACCTGGATCATAATCACCCTCAATACAATTGGCACTAATTGACGACATGCTGGCTATTGTAGCGGACAGAGAAATGCTATTGAACTGCACTCCTTTCCCATCTCAGCTACTCAGCCCATATGCAACACAAAACAGCGAATACAGCCACAGAATGGCTTCCTATATACCCACATTTCAAACTTTTCTTTTTGTGGCTATCAGTTCTAAGGATGGTACTATCATTCTACAGGACCTAGCTTAAGAGGGAACAGGATAGATGCCAGTAACCACATGGAGGAACCTTGGAGACGCTGTGCTACGTGAAATAAGCCCGACAGAAAAGGACAAATTTTGTATGGTTCCACTTCTATAAGGTACCAAATCAGTCAGACACATGAAGGCAGAAAGTAGAGAGTAGTGGTTACCAGGGACTAGAGGGAGGTAGAATTATGGGGAGTTATTATTTAGTGGGTATAGGGTCTCAGCTTAGGATGATGGAAAAGCTCTCTCTTAGGGATGGATAGTGTGAAGGTTGGACCACAGTATAGATGTATTTAATGACACTGAACTGGACACTTAAAAATGACTAAAATGGCCGAAACCGGCTTGGCTCAGTGGATAGAGCGTCGGCCTGCGGACTGAAAGGTCCCGGGTTCGATTCCGGTCAAGGGCATGTACCTGGGTTGCGGGCACATCCCCGGTGGGAGATGTGCAGGAGGCAGCTGATCGATGTCTCTCTCTCATCGATGTTTCTAGCTCTCTATCTCTCTCCCTTCCTCTCTGTAAAAAATCAATAAAATATAGTTAAAAAAAAATGACTAAAATGGCCAAAACCGGTTTGGCTCAGTGGATAGAGCGTTGGCCTGCAGACTGAGGGGTCCCAGGTTCGATTCCGGTCAAGGGCATGTGCCTGGGTTGCAGGCATATCCCCAGTGGGAGATGTGCAGGGGGCAGCTGATCGATGTTTCTCTCTCATCGATGTTTCTGACTCTCTATCTCTCTCCCTTCCTCTCTGTAGAAAATCAATAAAATATATTTTAAAAAATGACTAAAATGGTCAATTCTGTTTATATAATTTACCACAATTTTAAAATAATGTCTCAAAACAATAATCTCTAGCCCTGATATATTGCTGATACACAGTGGAACCAGGATTCCTGTTCCCCTCCTGCTAGACACTCTTTGCCCTCACCCTCATAGATACAAACTTCACACCCCATCCAAACAATATTTTCTCCATAAATTCATTTCTGATGACCACAGTTGGAAATAATCTCTCTCTCCCACTCTTTTTTGTGCTGTGAATTTTACCTGAGTTTGAATTTCAGCTCAAGGATTTACCAGCTGAATGAACTCGGCACGTTATTTAGCCTTTCTGACCTCCACTCCTCTTCTGTGAGAGGGGAATGCCAACACCCTCCATGTTATCGCGGTGCAAAGTGATTAATTGGCTAATACTCGGCACTCACTCAGTAACGTGTCCTCTGCTTCTCTTCCTTCCCCAGGAACCGACCCAATTGGGCAAGTTAGTTTAGACTATAAAAGGTGTATCTTTAATTCTGAAAACCTCCGAGAGAGAAATTGCTTGTTACAATTTTAGAGCTAGGAGTCTTAGAAAAATATGTAATCCAGTATCCTCACTTTAACTAAAAGCTGTTTAGAGCTTAAGTGACACGGTCAAGGCACCAAGCTACCTCGTCCCAACATCCCAAAGAGAATACATGTCTCCTGATGCGGGGTCCAATACTCTTCCCACAACATGACACAGCTGTCCCTAAGCACGCCAGGTACTGATCTTTCTCCCCTCCCCCTAAAACTCATCAAATCCACAAGCTCCTGCCAAATGCATAGGGAAATCATTTACCTTTGATTCCTCGGTCCACTTTCATTAAGCGCCTGATGATAGAATCGCGGGTATCTCCTTGCCTGATTTCAATCTTGGTTGAGAAGTGGCCATTGGATGGCTGGGGATTCACTATGAAAACTGACACACCAGGCTTAGGAAAATAAAGAGAAAATAATTGTTACAGGAAATCAAACTTGAATACTGCTGAGCGAAGAGGAATCTCTGCTACATTTTTAATGCCCAAAGAAAGACAGATTTAATTCTGGTATCTAAAGTCTTAACAAAGGGATACACAAACAACAGTGTGGTGGTTGCCAGAGGGAAGACGGTGGGGGGCGAAGGGAGTCCTAATATATGACGACAGGAGATTTGGCTTTTAATGGTGGGCCCACAGTGCAATTTACAGATCTTGTAATATAGAAACCCACATCTGAAACCTATACATTCATGTTAACCAATGTCACCCCAATAAATTTAATAAAAAATGAAAAAGACTCACATTTCAATTTTCATTGTGTTTTTTAAAATAAAAACTAGGGGTTTTTTTGCCCAGCTGATGTGGCTCAGTGGTTGAGTATCAACCTATGAACCAGGAGATCACAGTTAAATTTCCATCAGGGCACATGACGGAGTTGTGGACTCAATCCCCAGTGGGGCCTGTGCAGGAGGCAGCCGATAGATGATTCTCTCTCATCGTTGATGCTTCTATCTTTCTATCCCTGTCCCTTACTCTCTTTAAAATCAATAAAAGCATATTTTGAAAGAATAAAATAAAAACCAGGTTTTGAAAATTGTGTTTTTATTTTTTAAATCCACAAATAACGTCTGATGCCATCGCTTATAGTAGAGTAAGGAAAAGTGAGTATTGCACCAACCAGGGAATTAAGAGACTTCAAATCCACCCCCACTTCTAACAAACTATGTAGCCTGGTCCAAACCAATCACTTTACTTCTCTTGACCTCCCTTCTTTCATCTTTAAAATGATGGGTTTAGATGTAATGATCTCTAAGGTCTCTTCTAGCTCTAAAATGCAATGATTCGGTGAGATTCTTGCAACTTACTTCTGTTCTGAAAACATTAAGTGGTTTCCCAGGACAGCATTCTTCCCTGACTTTATCTTCTGCTTCAGAGGCACACTTGACTTCTATGTGTTCTAGCTAAATAGAGGAGGGAAAATGGAAGCCATTAGTATCACTTAATATGATTGAAATTAATCATCACCTCATTTCACCAAAGAACAAAACTAGGTTCTCCACTTAACATGAAATGGTCTGTGCGATTTTATAATTTCCTATATAAACATTAAATGAGATCTGTAATCAATTACTTAACTCTGATCTTAGCTGTCTCATAGTACTGTTATTTACATAGTGACATTAACCACTTTCTATAATGAAATCTGAAATTTACCTGCTAAATAAGAGAAAATGAAAAATCAGCATAAAAGGCTGACCTTAAAAAGTTCAGAAATTCAGCATTTGAGAATAAAAGCCTTCCACGTAAATAAACTCAGAAATGTAACATATTGCATATGCCTGAATATAAGATGACCCTAAGTGTGTCCCCACTTCCCAAAGTTCCAAGTTTTTTTCTCCATGAATATATATATTAATATTTAAAACTATCCTTAAAATAGATGTCTACTAATATTTATTCATTTATTTGTTAACTTATTTATAATTACACAATATACAATGTTTATTTAGAAGTAACTATCGCCCTAACCGGTTTGGCTCAGCGGATAGAGCATCAGCCTGCGGACTCAAGGGTCCCAGGTTCGATTCCGGTCAAGGGCATGTACCTTGGTTGTGGGCACATCCCCAGTAGGGGGCGTGCAAGAGGCAGCTGATCAATGTTTCTAACTCTCTATCCCTCTCCCCTCCTCTCTGTAAAAAATCAATAAAAAAAATAAAAATAAAAAAAGAAGTGACTATCTTTCATTCTAATATTTCATGAAAATTTTTATTTACTCTAAACCTGTGGAGGTTTTTTTCTTCAGAGTCTCCATTATCACTAGAGTCTTCTAACAATTTTTCTAGAGCAGATTATCTTTCCTCTGCCTAAGTGGTCTGAGAGACAGCATTTTTAGAATTGATATATGAAGCTATGACTGGGACAGCATGGTGGGACAGGGAAAATATGTGAAAGCTATTGGTAATGTTCTAGTTCTTGAGTTGGTAGTAGATTCATGGGAGTATAAAAACAGGAGATGTAACGTAGACATAGGGAATACAGTAAATAGTATCACAATAACTTTGTATGGTGACAGATGGTTACTAGACCTATCCTGATGATCATTTCATAACATATATAAATGTTAACTAATTATGTCATACATCTGAAACTAATATAATATTATATGTCAACTATTTTAATAAAAAAAGCTTTACATTCCAGAATGGAAATTTTAAAAAAAATTTAAATCTGAAAATATGACCAAATAATAATATATCATGAACCAAGAATTCTAACTAACCCAATTCTGTAAATCTGAAAATAAGGGAGGAGGGGAGAGGAGAAGAAGCAATTCAGAGTATCTCCTAATATGAGCAACTTTGAAAGTATTTGAGTATAAGTTCTAGACTAACTTTTTAAAAGATAATTTGTATGTGTGTGTGTGAGGGAGGAATCCAGGTATATATAGCTAGTATTTTATATATAGAATAACTGATAAGTGAAATAAGAAACAGGTCATTTTTTCTTCCTATAACTTCTATACCCACTCATTCTCTTACTTTTCCCCAAAAATTGTGACTGATATATTTGGCAAAGTTAGTAAACACAGAAGATGAAGTTTATAAAAGGTCTATTATAAAACAAAAGAACTGGATATGTTTACTATGGTTAATTAGTTATTACACGCCTAGCTCCTCTTACCTCAAGGGAATTGGTCAGGTAGACTATATTCTCCATGAGCACTGCCTGTTCATCGAATTCTAATTGCAAATCCAGAACACGAGGTCCCACCTTCTCCAGATTTTCCTAACAGCCAAAATGGTTTTGAAAAACAAAATCACATTAACAATACATTGAAAAGAATATATTTCCTCCAAAGCAATCATTCTTCTCTCAATTGATAAAATCTTCAAATTTGAACAGTTAAAGCAAAGGCCTTGGACTCATAGCTTCTCTTATCTATGTCTGCTTGTTAATGAAATTACTAGCTCAGAATAATTATCATTTTAAATATGATAAAATGAAGGCAGCAATGAAATGACTGGAAGAATAAGGTTTTCAGATTCATAAAGTAAATATGATTTTATCTTAGTTTATTTAGGCTGACTTAATAGGCAAGCCAAAAGACTGCTTTGACAAAGAATCAAACAAATGTGTGAAAATATCCCTTCAGGTAACAAAAATAAATTAAATAATTAATAATAATAATAAAATTTTCCAAGATACCAAATCTTTAAAGCTATTTCACAAACAGTAAATTAATAATAAATTCCCTAACATATTCCTACAAATTTTAAAATAAAATGTAAAAAGTCATACTATAAGGATACTCAGATAATCCTGTGACATATAAAAAATAATTTATTTTCTTTTCTTTTTTTTTTTTTTTTAAATATATATATTTTATTGATTTTTTCTCCTGCACACTCCCCACTGGGGATGTGCCCGCAACCAAGGTACATGCCCTTGACCGGAATCGAACCTGGGACCTTTCAGTCCGCAGGCCGATGCTCTATCCACTGAGCCAAACCGGTTTGGCAAAATAATTTATTTTCTTAATTTTCTTGAACATGAAATAAAATATTTTGCCAACTCAAAATATAACCAGAGAAAGCCAAGTCCATATGCACAAACATAGCTAACTGCCTCCAATAGGGTGCACTTACATGAAAGTGACCTGACATGATTCCCAGTATTGACTGTTTTCATTTACCATCTAAGTCTGTTCCTTTTCCCATGGGGAAAAAAAATACTTAAAGGTCATTTTCTTACTACCAGAATAATTAAACATTTTTCAACACCACTAATATGCCTGGCAAATCCCCAATATTACTGAAAAGATATATTACTACTCAAATAGTCTAGCATTGGTTTTTAAAAAGCCAACTTTTGAATCTAAAATCTTATTACTACTTTTCAAATCAGTTTCTCTGAATTCTGTTAATGCACATCTTTGCAACCAACAATGTAAGGATAGTTTATTGAATCCATATATTGACAATGGATCTGGCAATCTGACCAATGGGACCACTAAGAAGCAGACCAGCAGACGTATAACTTGATTGGTATAGGTCAACCCAGAATTCTAAATTCTCAGACTTGAAGTACCGTAAGGTTCAGAGAGTTAATTCTGCTCTAGGAGAATTAAAAGGCTCTCCTAAGAATATAATCTACTCCAATGTAGGACAAGTCGAGAGTCTGGGTCTCCAACAGGCAGGCATCTGTAGCCTAGGGGATTTGAAAATTAATCTCAAGTACAAGAATTACTACTATGTGCCCAGCAGGCTGGAAAACACTGATTTACTTTTTTTTTTTTTAATTACTGAGCCTACTTCTTGACAGGTAGTTTTCAAGTGTGTTAAAACTATTATTTCATAGTTTTACTCTTAAAAGGTAGTTCTATTAATTTTCTCACATTATAGATGAAAAACTTTGTGACCCAAAGAATTTAAGTAATTTATCTAAGGCCTCAAAACTAAGAAGTTAGAGGCAAACAGGGTTTGGACCAAGATCTGCCTGGCCCCAGAGCCTGAAATCTGAAGCAACATATAGCCTTCTTTCTACTTCTCTTTGTCAAGAAATCCAATAGGTCAGCTATGTCTATGGAGAAAACTAAGTCTAACCCAGTGGTCGGCAAACTGCAGCTGGCGAGCCACATGCGGCTCTTTGGCCCCTTGAGTGTGGCTCTTCCACAAAATACCATGTGCAGGCGCACACGTACAGTGCAATTGAAACTTCATGGCCCATACACAGAAGTTGGTATTTTATGGAAGAGCCACACTCAAGGGGTCAAAGGCCGCATGTGGCTCGCGAGCCACAGTTTGCAGACCATGGGTCTCCAACCCAATGATCCCTAATGGAGGAGCTGAAGGGGAGAATGCTGACTTTGCCTGCAGGAGACATTTAGCAATGTCTGAAGACATCTTTGGTTGTCACAGCCGAGGCGGGTAAAAGGGAGGGTCCACTGCAGGGGGGGGCAAACTTTTTGACTCGAGGGCAACAATGGGTTCTTAAACTGGACCGGAGGGCTGGAACAAAAGCATGGATGGAGGGCTTGTGTGAACTAATATAAATTCAAAGTAAACATCATTACATAAAAGGGTACGGTCTTTTTTTTTTTTTAGTTTTATTCATTCCAAATGGGCCGGATCCGGCCCTCGGGCTGTAGTTTGCCCACGGCTGGTCTACTGGCATCTAGTGGGTAGAAGCCAAGGATACTGCTAAACTCTATAGTGTACAGGACACAAATAACTATCTGGCCCAAAATACCAATACAGTCATTGCTGAGAAACCCTGGTTTCAACACTATACACAACATTTATCCGGTTACCCTAAACCTGTAGAAATGTAGGATTCCTGGTTCCAGTAATAGGATCTAGAAAAACACCCTAATATATATCAAAAGAATATGCTTCCCGCCCCAAACTGAAAAAAAGGGAAGGTAGAACATGAAGAGAATCATTTAGTGCAGCAATTCTAAACCACTTCTCCTCCACCAGACATAACTTCACATACTCAGCAATTCCACAGCTAAAGCCCACACCGGGTTGTTCATGTCTCATAACCACTGATTGAGAAGTGCATTTCATGGATGGGAGGGAGGTAATCAACCAAAGACCTTGTATGCATATATGCATAACCCATGGCCATAGGCAACAGGGTCCCGAAGGCCTAGGTTGGGGGGTAGATGGGGGGGGGCGTAGGAAGGGCTGGAGGGGACCAATGGGGGACATATGTAATATTTTCAACAATAAACAATTATTTTTAAAATTAAATTTTAAAAAAAGAGAAGTGCTATATCAGCAGATACCTTGGGGAGACTTCCCCCTCCTTCTACTGGCCTAGCTAACCATTACTCATGTGGTCTCAGCTCTACAAAGCCCACAGCTTACCTTAATCATGGCAACAAATGGCATCACTTTCTTCATATATTTCTTCAATTCTGGCAAACTGCCTAGTTCAGTAGCAAGGATTTTGTTATCAGGCAATTTTCCATTATTGTTCTAAAAAAAAAAAAAGAGTTGGAGAGGAAAGTAGAAAAAAGTATTTTAAAGATGATGGAGGACTGATGTGCCTGTAGGAAGCTGGGAGGACACAGAATGACCTCGACCAGTCGGTGGAGAACAGGAAGAGGGTGCAGCCCTAGCATCACGAGGAAGGGGAAGGTGAATGAGTAGCACAGAAGGGAGTCTCGCACCCCTCGAAATTCATACAATACATGATTTTGAGGGTAAAGAAGAAAAGCAGGTACACTGTGGTGAATATTACTAGTATCTTTTTTCTGACAATAATGGCACCTCCAGGATTGTAACACTAGATCTCATCTGGTGAGAAAACAAAATGGTCTTATAAACTTCTAGAAGTATTTCATTATTTATATCAAAATGAAAACTGCACACAACTATCATACAGATTTATAATCTGCTTTTGGACACTTTGTTACACATGAGCACAATCATGCACAAAAGAATCCCAAGCTATGGACCTGTTAAAAAGCAGTATTATTTCTATCCACTCAAAATCAAGTGCCTGTATCATATATCACTAATATGTGTAAGTCCCAAATGTGCTGTGTGAATTTAAATTCACTTCTGCAAACACCAGCTGTCTCCTTTAATAGAGTGAGAAAGCAAGCAGCCTTTTCAGAGTTTGGGGTGACTCATTTTCTCCTTATTGTAGATACATAGTATCAAAGCCAAGGGTTGGGAACAAATCTAAATGAAAAGTAACATATCGTTAAGATTTCCAATAAGCCATTTACTTTCAATTCTAACCTTTACTAAGTAAGGTACATGGAAAAGAATTTTCTCTAGTTGTCAATGTGTTGCTTTGAAATGAAAGAGAAAAGGAGAGGGTAGGAAACACCCCTTTTCCTTATGTCACGAAAAGGCGCCATATTCCACATAAGTACACTCTTCTTGATTACAAACTAACAATCTTTTGGATGAACACAAAAATTTTAAAGGAAGCTAATCATTCCAAATACCAAAAGATGATGTCGTTTTGAAACTGTACAATAACTAGTTAATGAATACTATGTAAAATTAGAACTCCTAAAAGAAAAATAGTGTGCATTTATTTTTAAAACCTGGGACATTGCATACTATATTTAGTTCTTCTACTGCTTCCTTGAAAATGTTGGTATGAATATTCAACTCACTGAGGCACAGTTTCAGTTCTCTACCTCTGAAAGTAGTGTTTACTCTCACTTATAAGTCAAAATCTGCAAGCAGATTCTAGAAGCTACTTTCTATTTCTATTACACACAAATGGGTCTATTTCTATTACACACATAAAATTAGGTTCACAAAGAATAAAAAAAAACACTTGCTCTTCTCTCTCCATCAAATTTTGCAAAGGTAAAAGTTTCTTTATATAATTCCTAATTAACTATAAAAATTATTGAGGCAAAATTCTAATAAAGGTCTATAAAATCAAAACCAGGGATTTTTCCTTCATGTTATCACTTTATGCTCTGGCCATAATCTCTATTCTCTATTTGCTCTCTCTCTCTAAGTGGATCTTCATGGCTTGTGTCTAAGTCTAAAAAACTAAGTTTAAATATTGAGTTTCCTTTCAATAGAGCTATCATATATAATAGCTACAAAAACAACATCAAGCTCTCCATTTCTATGGGTAATTATTAAACTGAACATTTTCTTTTAAATTGCTCAAGAACCAAGCTTCGAGCTTTTCAAACACAATAAGGTTAAAGTTTCATGAATCTCAACGTTTTTGCTTCATAATTTTAACCACATGGATGAAAAAGTCCTAAAGTCTTTAATTACATGCAACTAGATTCAAGCTTCAAAAATGGTAAAAAAAACAGCAGTGTTCCCCCTGGCATCCATTTAGGAGTCACCAAGGACAACAAAGGATGCTCCATGACTAGAGGTAATGAAACTAAGCTATCGGTCTTCCCTCTCCCGGACATTGTCAGCATCCTTAAAGCAAAAGCCGCACAGGGAGACACCGCAAGGTTGGGGGCATTCTGCAGAGAGCATCACCTGAAAGTGATGACGCAGAACTGACAGGGTGGTGTGTTGCCAGGATGGATAGTTCTTCGCCACATAGATGGTGCAATGGGAAGGCTTCTGAGGTGGGAGCTTGTCAGTCTTCTACAGAGTAAAAGAGAAGGAAAAAAACCATGCAATCACTTTCATATAAACCCACAATGAAGAACCCTCCCCCAGGATATACCACTACTGCCTTGAACATTAAAAAAGACACATAATGCAGAACTGCATTAGCAATGAAGACAGCCCTACACACTTTAATGAAAGTTGCCTTAATTTTCATTACTGTTAAATATTAATTGACCAGTAACTTTTCAGGAATGACCTTAAAAAAAAAAAAAAAAAGACGTCACCTTCCCTTTCGCTGGCATCATGTAATTCTTCAGTCGCAGCCTAAGGTCATGTGCGACCTCCATGAGATACTGTGAGGAACGTATCAAGACATCATCCACAGGACCCACGACAGGCCACGATGCACGCATAATGGAGTCAGGCTTTTAAGTAAAAACAGACAGGCTCAGGGAGAT